CAGTAGCTAATATCTAATCTTAATATTCAGAAAATGCCCATTCTTCATCAATAATTTTAATGCTATCTTAATTGCCTTAATTATTCTTGTTTTCAGAGGGATCTGAACAAAGGGCACAATTTAGAAATTCCAGCCTTCACAGAAATTTAATTAAAGAGGATTCTCTGGAATTTTAAACAATTAAATCAGATATTAAACTGATAAGAACAGATACTACACTTGATCTTAGCCAAAAGGCCGAGAAGTGATTGATTTGTATTTTCTAAAGTGAATTAAAACATCATGTCTCCCTGAGTGTCAGCACAGCATTGCGATTATGATCATAGACTCGGAGCCCAACTTCTTAGGTTACAATGCTATCTCCATTACTTACTACCTGTGTAAGCTTGGGCAAGTCATTTAGTTTCTTTCTCAGTTTCTTCACCTGTAAAATGAACATATTACTTCCATTATAGAACTAAATGAATTAATATAGGTGAAGTGATTAGAATAGTGCCTACAGAGAATGTAATATGAGTGTTTTCAGATATTATTATTTTTCTCTTCTATGTCCTTTCATTTAAAATTCCTATTCTTTGGATGCCTTTAATACAGCCAACGAACTAAGTTACAGTTATATGTGAGTAGCTCATTATAGTTTAATACAGGTATCAGCAGATTGTGGCCACTGGCCAGACAGCCCTTAAGCTAAGAACAGTTTTTACATTCGTAAGGGGTTGTAAAGAAAGAAAGGAAAAAAAGAAGAATGTGAAACAGAGACAATACGCGGTCCACAAAGCCTAAAATACTTACTAACTGGCCCTTTATAGAAAAAGATTGCTGACTCTTGGCTTAATATGTTCCCCTTTCAAATACACTTGCAATTTAAAATCACCACAGAATAAATATCAAGGAATGAAAGACAGGAATTGATAGTAGGAGAATGTACTTTGTTTTGTGTGGAACAAATTGTCTGAGATTAGAAAAATGTGTTCTCGTTGATTCTAACTGATGCCATTTGCTTCTGTAACCGTGCTCCCTTTTAGTTGTTTGTTAAATATAGGAGTAAGAGCAGGAGTGACTCCATGACAAGCTGAATTTCCTGGAATAGGCCTAAGTTTCTGTTTCCCCGAAACCGAAATGCGGACCATAACTGGCGCTGGCGCGAAAATTGAAAATCCCGGGGCTTGGAGCCAACCAATCAGGAGTCAAAACAATCAGCCACTTTCAAAAGAACCAATGGACTAAGGGGGGAGGGGGGATGGTGTGCCCAGCGTGTCGTGTGGAACCTGCGTGTCGTGTGCCACTGGTGTGTCGTGTGCAAAAGAAAGTATAAAAGCTTCACTTTTACCCCAG